CAAGGCCGCACGGAACTTTAGCCAACACTCTAAGTCCGTGACAACGTGGTATCAGAGCGAGGTTTGATACTAAGAGAATGGCAACCGAAGGGGACATAAACGCCGCTAGTACCACCAACATCCGTCCGGATGGTGGAAAGAGGAACCGCAAGGGAAAAAAGCACCAAAAGAGTAATGACGAAATGTTGCTGGATCCCACACCAAGCGAGGCGCTAACATCTCATCCACCTTCAACCACCGAAGCAAGTGACGATGAACGTGGCGAGGAGCCTATTGACGTCACCACTGGAGAAGAATGGGTCGCAAGGGTTGAAGTGGCGAGGCAGGCCGTGGAGATATTAGGCCGGCGTTTGAACGTGGCCGATGGCAAATTCAAGACTCTTGAGGACTTCACCCTTGAGGAGACCGAAAACATCCGTAAGGAGTTGGAGGGACGTCAGCGGGCCGAGTTTGAGATGAAGGAGGCTATCACTTCCTTGGAGTGTCGGCTCATGGAGGCATTGAGCACGATTGAGACCATGAAGGCCGAGATGAAAGCACTCAAGGAAGGTGGGGCAGTTGGAGGATCATCGTCGCTTGACCGAGATAGGGAGGCCAGGGTCGAGGCTCCCAAGCCACCAATGTTTAAAGGCGTCCGTGACGCTCAAGAGGTGGAGAACTTTTTGTGGCACTTGGAGAACTACTTCAAGTGTAATCGGGTGAAGAGTGACGAGATCATCAACACCTGGGAACAATTCCGAGAGGAGTTCAAGAAAGCCTTCTTCCCTAACAACGTCATCTATGAGGCGAAACGCAAGTTTAGGGAGCTGAAGCAAACGGGTAGCATCCGCGCATATGTGCAGGAGTTCACTACCCTCACGTTTCAAATTCCTAACCTCATGGATGATGATATGTTGTTCCACTTCATGGATGGGCTGCAAAATTGGGCCAGGACGGAGTTGGAACGTCGGCAAGTCAGGACCATAGATGAAGCCATCACGCAGGCCGAAGCTTTGACAGACTTCAGGCAGGAGAAGCCCGACAGAGCCAGAGGAGAGGAAGCAAGAGGTAGTCATGACCATGGTGGGGGAGATCGTGGCAAAGGCGAGGAGCAGTGGCCACATCCTAAGAAGCATGACACCTACAAGTCCGATGGCAAGAAGTCTGGACGTCATGGCAACACGGAAGAAGATAGAGGTTGCCAACAAAGGTGGCTGCTACATATGCGGCGGGCCGCATGGTTACGCAAAGTGCCCTGAACTGAAGAGCCTTGGTGCTATCCTGCGAGAACAGAAGGAGAAAGACGCCCAGGAGCAAGGACAAGGTGAAGGGACAACGCAGTTAGGCTTAATAAGTCTATGCGGGGCCATCACGAAGCAGCCAGAAAAGCCAAGGGAAGCGGCGCGCAGTATGTCGACCTTAAGATCAATGGAAAGCCCGCTTGTGCTTTGGTCGACACGGGTGCAGAGGTCAATCTCATGACCAAGAAGGCAGCAATGAGGTTGGGGCTGAGTTACGGTCCAAGCAGCGCCCAACTCAAGACGGTCAATGCACCCCCGACTCCTGTGAGTGGAGTTGCACATGGAGCAAGCATCACGCTGGGCGAGTGGCAAGGTAAGACCAACTTCACTGTCGCTCCTGTAGATCTTTTTGACATAATTCTTGGGCAGGAGTTCTTCCAGCAGTGCCACGCGGTGATCGACCCTTACCTCCAACGACTTCTAGTCATGGAGCAAGGAAGATCATGCATGGTACCCATGGTCAAGGTACCAAAGACGGAAGGACAAGTACGACTAACGGCCATGCAGGTCATAAGAGGCCCCAAGAAGAAGGAGTCGACGTCTAGAGCCACCATTGCAAGTTCGAAGAAGGACAATGGTGCAAGAAGGTCCCCACCGCCACATGCGAAGAAAGTTCCAAAAGGGAACAATGCTGTGATGCCAAAGAAGCCGCCGAGGCGCTTGCCTCCTAGGAAGGAGGTAGACCAGAAGACCGAGCTAGAAGCGATATGGAAGACGCTGAAGGCATTGCGCAAAGGCCTTAATCGAGTCAATGGACTATTGGTCGCGCACGCACAAGGCTCGGATGACGATGTAGCGGCAATGCGACGCGGTCGTCGCATCAATAGGTGGGGGAGAGTGTCACGTCCCGCCACTTCGCGGTAGAATTTTGGGCGTCCGGATAGGGGCGGAAGGGTCTAGAGTTGTGGAGAGGTTTCCGGAAGACTCTAGAACCCTTTGGATATTTCAAGAAGGTTTTGGAAGGTCCTAGAGTATGTAGAGAATTCTAGAGAGGGACTAGATATTTTCTAAGAAGTCTTGGGAAAATCTTAGAAAGTGTAGAATTCTCTAGAAAGAGGACCAAAGTGTAAATAAGTTTAGGGACTTAGGAAGTAATTTAAAATTGTACTTTAGTCCCTAGGAGTTAGTATAAATAGGTGGTGCCATTCATTTGCAAGGCATCCAAGCAAGTGTAAGCATTCTCCAAGCAATACAAAAGCCTTCTTCCAAAACTCTCTTCTTTGATCTTTCCAAGTCTTCCTTAAAGCATTCTCTTAGCGATCTAAGTCTTAAAGGCTTCCTTGAGTTTACAAGATCTTGAAAGAATAGTGAGTAAATTGTCAAGGGCCGCACGGAACTTTAGCCAACACTCTAAGTCCGTGACATTAGGCTTAGTTTTGATGGTCTGGACAAAGATGAGAAGGATTTATTTCTAGATATTACATTTATGGATATTGCATGCTTGACTAGATGTAATTTTCATCTTTATGTGGAACTAGTACAGAGAGATGCGAGTCGTGGTTTTCTAATAGATTACCTTATCGAAAAATCTCTGTTATCCATTGACCTGAATAATAGTATTGTGATGCATAATATGATAAGAGAAATGGGAGAAAATGTCATATGGGAAGAGTATGCTAACAGCAGAATATGGCTTCCCGAGGAAGTTTGTGACCTTTTTACAGAAAAGTTGGTAAGCAATATTTAACGTAATTAATAATTTCGTAAGCTCAAAGTTAATTTTTTTTGTTTCATTTTTATTTTTTAGCCATTAATATATGTTTCATTATTTACAGATAACAGAAAAGGTGCAATGTCTACGTATCCCAAACGATTACTATTATGAAGATGATTTTGTCGATTACAGCAATATTTTTAAGAGGATGCAAAGCTTACAAATACTCATAGTTGGTAATGGAACTTTTAGCTCAAACTGCGCTATCACTTATCTTCCTTCCAGCTTGCGGTTTATTGATTGGCTGGGGTATTCTTCAATTTCATTGCCAGAGAGCTTTGAACCATCACAGCTTGTTGTGCTTTGTTTATGTGAAAGTAGGCTTGTGGAACTTTGGCCAATATCAAAGGTAACACTCTCTTACAAATATTAGACATCAACTGGAGTTGTTGCAAAGTTCTTGTACAGAATAATGGAATAATAATTCTAAACAAATAGTTGTAATTATATAACATAATGTATATAATGAGGTTGAAATAAATGCTTTGATAGGTCAATGCATGTAAATTAATCCATCCATGATTTAAATGCTACTTTAAATAAATGTTCTGATATACACAATTAACAACAAATTTTTATTTATTTTTGGTTATCAGTCACTTGTAAGTTAAAATTTTGTTCTTACAAGTACAAAATTCATCACAAAATCAAATATATAATCTCTCCCTCTCTCTTTTCATCACCTTTCTTTTCCCAATTTAATATTCAACATATTTAGGTGGAACCTAACTTTGTTGACATTCACGATATAAATGAAGTACTTCATCACAGTCATAATGTATAATATTGTTGAATCTTTGGATTTATAATTGTGTAGTAGTTTACTTCCTGCAATTATATCTACCTAATAAAGAACTTGCAAGTGCACCCAATCAAAGAAGTGGATTGAGCACTATGAGATCTCAGGTTCAAATCCCAGAAAAGACAAAAACACTAGGTGATTTCTTTCCATCTATTCTAGCTTTGGTGGATAGAGTTACGTGGGACTCCCTCTTTTCCGCATTTTCTACATCCTTCAATGATCATAATAACCTTTGTTTTTTTCCCATCCGGTGTCCGGTACCCACATTGGAGCCCGACTAAATCCGGATTCGCGTTGGGAAGTCCTACATTGGGGGGTAAAGCGCTCCCTAACAAAGGCGACTCCATACCCAAGGGTGCTCAAACCCGAGACCTCTTGGTTAAGGATGAAGGAGTACTTATCACTCCACCACAACCCTAGTTGGTCACAAAATATTTCTATTAGGAGTACTACTTAAGTTAACTGGGTTTTTTTTTTTTTAAATGAATACAGAAATTCAGCAATTTGAAGTATTTGGATCTACGCGAAAGCCTTGGGTTAACAAAAACCCCTAATTTTGGTGATATGCCAATCTTGGAGACACTATATTTAAAGGGGTGTGTGAATTTGAAAGAGGTCCATCCCTCTCTTGGACATTGCAGAATGCTTACTGCTTTGAGTTTGTGTTTTTGTTGCAAACTTAAGAAGCTTCCAAAATTTGTCTGCATGGAATCTCTTGTGATTCTCAATCTCAGTAGTTGCACAAGCGTTGAAGAATTTCCAGAAATCTGTGGAGATATGCGGCACTTATCAATACTCTATCTAGGATCCCCCTGGATAAGAAGCTTACCCCCGTCTCTCAGCGGCCTTAGAGAGTTGCGATTGGATGATTGTGAAATTCTTGAAAGTATTCCAGACACTATTCGAAATCTTAGTGATCTCAGAATTTCAGGTTGCAATAAACTTGCAACACTGCCAAACAACCTCTTTGAATCACAGCAATTGAAATATCTTGAAATACACCGATGTTCTGGATTGGTAAAGCTCCCCATATCTCTTGGAGTTCAAAAGAATCTCTGTTTGTTAGAGTTAGATTCATGTGAGAACTTAAAGAAGCTTCCAAGCTCTATTCAGATGGAATCCCTTCAAAAACTCATGATATCTAATTCCCCAAAATTAGATACATTTCCAGAAATCAAAGGAGATATGCATTACTTGAAAAATCTGAATCTGAGTTCTACAGGGATAAGAGAAGTACCTTCATTCATTGGGAATCTGCTTAGCCTCATTTCTCTAAATCTGTCAGGTTGTGAAGATCTTGTAAGTCTACCAGACAGCCTCTGTAATTTGATGAATCTTCAATATCTTTTCCTCAGAGGGTGCAAAAAGTTAGAGAAGCTTCCAGAAAACATGGGTGATTTGCAAGAGTTACGTATGTTTGATGCGGGCGAAACTGCAATATACCAACCACCTCTCTCCATCACCAAGCTTGGGAAACTGAAAGTGTTATGCTTGTGGGGACTTCCTGAGGATTTAGGATCTTTGCACTCTTTGACAAGCTTGCGTTTAAGTGGAAGCAATATTTCTTGTTTACCAAAAAGCTTTAAAGGACTCTTACACCTTCAGCATCTGAACATACAATTCTGTCAGAATCTTAATGAACTGCCAGGAGAGCTACCCCCAAATTTAAGGGAGCTATTAGCAGATTATCATTTAGCCTTGAAGAGCATCAAAGATCTCGTAATTAATTGTCTTAAGCTGTATTGGCTCGTAATATCCGACTGTGGAGCCGTCTCAAGTGAACAAGTTAATGTGTTCCTACAGCATTTTCTCAGGACATGCATCCAGGTTTTTATCTCATATATGAATGTTGAATATTCTTGTCTAATTGGTTTCTAGTAGTAATAATAATCTCTATTCTATTGCATGCAGTGTGACTTCCATCAAAGGGATTATTTTCTCATTAATTTTCCCAGAGTCAGAATTTCAGAGTTGTTCGATTATGATTGTCCGTTTATAAATCAAGAAAAGATGTCAATTGATCTGAATCCATCTTGGTATACCAATAAATTCATGGGTTTTTGGATAACCTACGGTCCTACTACAAAGTACATAAGATTAGAAGCTACATTGGTCTGCAAATGTGACCCTGAAAGAAAATATTCCTTGAAGTCTAACAACAGCTTCCATGAAAATATGGTGTCCAAGTATCCTTTCATATGTTGCGTCTACATACCATTTGAAACATTGTGGAATGCTTCTGGCAATAAAGAAGGGAAGAATCCAAATGATTATTACATGTTGGAGTTTTCTCACATGTTCTGGCCGGAGACCAAAGAAGCATGCTGGGGAATTCGGCTGGTGTATGAACAGGAAGCAATGAGTGATGATAGCGGTCATAGAAAAAAGAAAAGAAGAAGCAATGAGTGAGGCAAAGGTCTGTTTATATGAAAAAGGTTATTTGTATTTGGAGAGACATTTTTAATTTGAAAATTTATACTTATTAAAAATAATTGAGTCCTATGCACAAGGGTATGCGACTTTAGTTGGTGTTTGTCAATATAACTTGTGTTCGTTAGTTTCCTTTTAAAAAAATAAAAATTAATGTATGAACCTTGATATGATATTTTTTGAGATTTTTTTATGTATTTTTTCATGTATAATAACCGACGAAAGTGCTTCAATTTTCTTTCTTAAACATTCAATTAAATTAAATAACACCACGTATTTTTGTTTATTTCATATCATCCCGGCTATCTTGATTTAACACAAATACTCACTTTCTAATTTTTAATTTAACTCAATACGGATAATTAAAAAAAAAAACTCATCTTCAATACGAGTAAAAAAACGCTTGTTTATTGCTAATAAACACTATTAAAGAAAACGTTAAAACCGGACAAACTTCGTCAGCTTGTCAATCATTCGTACAAAGCGTTTTCCTGCTTTTCCCCCTCGAATGGGGCCCTACATGGTATGACTCCACAATAATTGGGCTTTACTATGGGTACGAAACAGGGAGTAAGAAAAAAAAAACTCTTACATAAAGTCTGTAGCCAAAAGGACAAAAGAAAAACTATAAATAGTGAAAATAGAAAAAAAAACATAAAAATACAACAACGATTGAATAAAGGGAAAAGGGTCAAAAATTCCCTTAAACTATGTGAAAGGAACAAAAATGCCCTCAGTTTATAGTTTGGCTCAAAAATATCCTTATCGTCAATACTTTGGCTAAAAAATGCCCCTGCAGTCAATACTTTGATCCAGAAATGCCCCTATAGTTACAAAATGGTTCAAAAATGCCCTTTTCTGAATAAATATATTATTTTTTTCTTTTTAAACACATCTTATTCCTAATTAAAATATTATTAAAGAACACTATTCTTGTTTTCTTTCTTCTAAAAATCACTTTAACAAATAAAATGTAGGAAATATTTTTTTCTTCTGAATCTCATTTTATCAATTAAAATAGAATGTACCCTTTCGACAGATAATATGTGTCATATATATAAGATCAGAGTATATCCATTATTAATTTATATTTATATAACAATAAAAATTAATGATAAAAAAATAAGAAATATTTTCATTTTTTTTTTTCTGAATTGAAGTAAGATAAACATTTGCTAATTTTTTTATAAAAACATTATTAGAAAAAAATGTATCAAAAGAAAATACTAATATATTAATTTGGAAAATGAGCATTTTTGACCCATTAAATAACAATAAGGCATTTTGGACCAAATATTGACGGCGAATGCATTTTTGGACCAAAATACAACTTGACAGCAAATTCTCAGGTAAGGCAACGAATTTATATCAATTTACAGAAAGGTATCAATTTGTTGTTCATTTGTTTAATTTATCAGTGCAATACTGAAAAAAGGAACATTTTTATGTCATGAATTAGGAAGTTTATAACAAGTTTCCTATAGAGGCTGAAAATAGGCAAAGTCTTTACTCTTTGTGAACACAATAAATTTGCTGGAAATTTCTATGAAGTTGGTCCCCATTGAACAATGATCCTGTATGTGAACTGTTGGAATGTATGCATCCACTATCAGTCAAGGACCAGGTCCCTTGACTCAGCAAGAACAGTAACTAAAAATGTGCAGAAAATAAACAACTGGAAGTAAGATTTGCACAAGTATTTTACGTGGAAACCTCCTTGCTCAAGGGAGTAAAACCACGACTTGTCTCACAGGACTTTTCAAACTGCTTTCACTAATCTTCACAAGCAAAAGTAAAACGCAGTTTATAACTTGAGATTAACCTTCTAATCTCCACACTAAGTAATATCACCTATTACTCAACCGAGCCTAAGCATGTACAACACTGCTCACTATACTAACCCTCACTGATTAATATAGACTTTTGACCGTAAGACACAAAGTTACCCCTAACTATGTTCTTACAAGACTCAAAACAAAGTTTTGAAACATTTCTAACAAGAGTGAAACGAATCCTACAAGTTAAGTACAAATACAAACAATCAAGAACAATAGTTGGTACGGAAAACACTCTTTCTGTTGATCAGGTCCTTGTTGTATGTGTTCTTGTGCTTGAGTTCTTCCTTGGAGATGGCTTTCTTCTTTTTTTTGCTTGTGAGTTTTAGCTTGCCAAATCTTGAGTTTGTGTTTTGTTGGAAGAGACTATATTAAAATGACCACAAACTCCTTGGGACTGCCCATTGGCTGAGAGCCTGCCTTCTCTTTAAAGACGTGCACCTGTCACATCAGAAGTGATAGCTTTACAGTTGTACTATCTTCCTTTCACGTACACAGTCTTGTAGGGACCAGGTCCCTTATAGACTTTTCTTAGTAAGTTCTTGAGAAGACGTGTTGGCTCTCTCTCCTTTTGAATGAATGAATTAATTTCTTGTTTGTCATGTTAACTAAGTCAACCATAAGAAGTTATTGACCGTTGGACAACAACCTCGTCGATTCTGATTGGTGTAGTACACTGATGACCTCACCAACTTCTGACGTGAAAACTTTCCAGTTGTACCACATATAGATCTGGACGAGAGAACTCAGCCAGGGACCAGGTCCCTGCATTTGTGAGACACTGAA